CGCAGTGCTCATTACTATAACATCCCCAGTAGTAAGTAGTAATAGAGGTTTTCCAGTAGCAAGCCCTAATAGTAATTCTCAAGTAGTAACCGATGAATTTACCTCTCCAGTAGTAAGGACCACTAATAGAAATATTTAGGGACCAGCAAGAAATTAAATAATTTGAAACATTTTTTTTTAACTGTAAAAATGACCCTAACAATTTTGTGAGTGTTTGTGTGGGGACCCTCAAAAACCAGCCAGAATTTCGCTCTCCAGTAGAAAAATCGTCGGCCGAAACCGCTCAGGGTTCTATATAGTCCTTCTGCTTTATTGTAAACACGTATTCATGCATACGACTCTGAGGAGCCTGATGCAAAACATCATTATTGTTYTGTAGTCGTCACGCAAAAACCCCAGAGATCGATATCTATTGTTGATGACATACGCTTGCATCTAGTGAGGGCCGTGTTGGTAGCGAATTTTCTTCCTGTGTTCGAATCTCAAATCGAAGGTTTAGGTGAATGTTGATTGGATAGCTTGCTCTTTATCATTTGTGCCGAACCTTCGAACTCAACAATCATGTCGGAGTCTCAGGCCTTCGTTATTGTTTCGGGCGTGGATATCCTCACGTCCATGGCCCCACTGCTAGCCATAGCCTGTATCTCAAACATATTAGGATTAGGTATTKCAAGCCCACTAATAGTGAGCACGATTCGAACGTTTGTTCAACTCTCTATTCTTGCATTTATTTTAGATCCAATATTTTTGCGAGGAGTAGATTTGTGGTGGCTGGTTGTGGGTTATTGTTTCCTAATGATCCTTTTGGCATCCTACGAGAGCTCCACTCGCGCAAAATACTACGTTGTTGGACAGTTCTGGATGGTACTTTTCCCCATGATKTTCAATATCGTTACTGTTGCTTTATACGCTTTTTTGGTGGTRATAAAACCGGAACCTCGCTGGGATATGTTGAGCGTAAAGTTAAAAATATGATGCTATGGTTTTCAGAGCTATTCAAATCAGCAAACAAAAAATCAAATGRTGGTCGCAAGGCAAGTGCTTGATATCTCACAAAAATCTGCCAACTTCTCATCTTGCCGGTTTSTCTTTGCCTCGTATTTGTTCTTTGTAGATCCTCAATACGTAGTTCCCATCGTAGGTAAGTTTCAGAGAAAAGTTCACTCCTTCCTTCGATTGTGACGGTGGGCTGAAAGGTAACAAATTTTGTATCAATTTGAATATCACAACTGCTATAGGTATGCTTCTAGGAAATTGTATAAATGGGATATCATTGGCTCTCAATAGCCTGTTCACCTCATTGGTTGAATGCTCGCGTGAGGTTGAGCTGTTGCAGGCCTTCGGTGCGAATGAGCGTGAAGCGACGGCACGATTAGTACGAGAAGCGATTCGCAATGGGACTATGCCTCAACTTAATAGTATGGCGATCATTGGCCTTATTTCTATCCCAGGTGGGTTTCGAACAAGAAATATCTTGTCGAGATTATGTTCAAAGRTCTTCGCGTGGATCTTTTGCATCTCCTTACATTGAATGTGGTTATGAAAKTGACGAAGTAGTCTCTGAATTTTTTTCGTGCACTCAAACACTTAMTTCCTGAAGGAATGATGACYGGGCAAATATTAGGAGGTACATCGGTAACGCAAGCGGCAAGATATCAAATCCTCATAGTGTATTTTATTGCTATGTGCTCATTCGGAACAATCCTGATGGAACTCCATCTAGCTCTAGGAGTTTGTTTCGACTCGAGAGGAATTCTTCAGACCGATATTCTCCAGAAGCGTGATAAAAAACCAAGCTTCGCCGCCAGTGTAGTGTCGTCCATTCGAGGTTGTTTCAGAAATTTCAGCCTTTCGCCCCGTCAGCATTCTGCCTCATCTAGCAATTGCGCTRGTGAGTCAACATTCCTGAGTCCGTATGGGAGCATGAGCGTGGCTACACCAAGTCGTGGTGGAAAGGAATCAGAGAATATCGTTCTTAGTTTAGACAGACTATGTYATGGATTCAAAGTTGGAGAAGATGAAGAGTCCAACGCAAAAGAGAATGAGTACAAAAACGAAAGCACGACACGAATCTTGTTCGAAAACGTATCTTTCAAACTATATTCTGGAGAYTCGGCCCTTGTCATGGGGCCTTCTGGAGCAGGAAAGTCGACCCTTCTAAGGATTATTGCTGGGCTTACAGACGCAGATGCACAAAGAATCAAACTTTTTGGCATTGCACAAGATAGCTTTGCCTCGATGCCTCGTTGGAGGAAACGGGTTCGCTATGTACCACAAACTAAGGTTGAGATACCAGGAACCCCAAATGATTTCATCAGAAAAATTTCATCTTTCGGTACATGGAACAATAAAAATAGTGTTGAYGATTCATCTTCTTTGTACTTTGAGATGGAGTCGACGGTAACAGAGCTTACGACAAGTTGGGGCATAGGCATCAACCTCCTTAATTCTGAATGGAAATTCCTATCTGGTGGAGAATCGCAAAGAATCCTTATCGCAATCTCATTAGCTTCGTTGAAATGATAAATCCGATTTTGATGCATCGAATTTAATGTCTTTTTTCATTTCGATACCAACAAGAAGTTCAAGATCCACCGCCGCACAGGATTTACTGATGTCTTTCGAATTCAAAAAATTAGAACGAAATGATACAGAAGGTTCRTGTTCTTCTGTTGCCGAAGGATTTCGTTGCAGAGAAAGCTGTCGAACCTTGACGTGTGCGCCATATTCTTTCCACAATTTACATGCTTGATTCAAGTACTGATCCGCCAAAYMATCTTCATTCAAGGCTTTCATAACTGCTCCYGTAAGTTCACTTCCATGTGCGGCATCCTGAGTATAACCTATCTTGACTGCCGCAATAATTGCTTCGTCATACGCCTTGGTCAATTTTTGCACATCGTGACACTCTAGAGAGAGCACTTCGGCTTCCAATAAGAGGCATTTGTGAAGCGCATTTAGCCCTCTGGTGCGACAGAAGTATCTCAACGTTTTTATGAATTTCATGGCTTTTCTTTCATATTTCTTGGAACCTGTTTTGCGAGCTAACTCCAGATAAGCAAGTCCAGAATAAAAGAGTTCTTTGCTACCACATATGTATGACCTCTCGAATCCAACGAGAGAAGAAATCGATTCGGACATTCTCACCGCAAACTCGATGTTGCCGAACAACACTCCTAGCTCCAATCGCGATATGAGTGAGAAAACAGTGGTGTAGTAATCAGATTCCCCCCTTCCAACATCCTCCGGAGGCTCCAATTCATTCCAATCAATCTTCCTTTTGCCCATCAAACAAAGCACAGAAACTCGGCTAGCCATGAGATATGTCAAGACCGATTCAACGTTGTACAGACTGAGTTGTTGAATMAGCTGTGCCCCGGTCTTTTCAACGGGCTCCAACGGATATCCAGAACTCTGTGCAATAATATTGCAAAATACAATACATTGAAATCCTATTTCTATATTTCCTTTCGCCATTCCAGCCGAATGAGCTTCTTGCAAGGTCTCCATTACGTGCTCTCTGGGATAACTCCATGCTTCGATCCAATAACCAACCACGAATAGTGTCTCGGATTTCATCGAGCTTGAAATTTCGTCCGTTTTTGCCATTATCTCACGAGCAAGGCCTGCCATCCGAAGGGCATTCTTGACGTCGTTATCACTATCCTGTAAAAGTTTACCATAAGATGCAAATGCTTGCGCACTCGTCCTCGAAAACCCGAACTCGAACGTGAGACGCAATTGTCGTGCTATGCAAAACCGATATTCTGTCATGTTTCCGCAATGGTGAGCTCTTCGTGAAGCTTGTGACAGTAAATCCATAACCATATTATTCTTTTTGTCGTAGCATATCGGCATCATTAGAATATCATAATCACTGTGGCTTTTGAAGAAGCGTTTGATGACATTAGAATCTTTCTTCACGTGAAAATAATGCATGTGCTTCGGAATTGCCYCCACGCGTACCAGGGCTTGGTGGCACAGAGAAAAAGACTCAGCATGTTTTTGCTGTTTTCCTTTTGCTTCAGCTAGTGCAAGGTAGGTTGGAAGTTTGTCTTCCAAGTTTCGGGTCTCATTTAGGACGATTTGGGCCAACTCTTCGCCTTTTTCGAATTTACCGAGACACAACTCGCTATCAGAAATCTCTCTATATATCTGCAAAGAAAGATCGTAATGAGATTCCCATGGATTCTTGTCGAGCTTTCGGAGATAGCTCAGGGCTAATCTCATGTACAATGAGGCGGGGACGTAGGCGCCAAGAAACCTGGCCTTTTTRCCGCATTGCAGATTCAACTTCGCGAGCGATAGATCGTCTTTTCCTCCGTGACCAATACACGAATTCAGATGGTCTGCAGCTACAAAAAGCATCCATTCCTTTCCCTTGGGTTGGAAGTATAATTCGTATAGTTTTCTACCGATCATTACCCGTAGCTTAGCTCGTTCTTGACTGGACGATACCACCCAGTAAGTWGCCTGTTGCACACGATCATTCGCAAACTGGTAAAGTCCCGTCCCGATCGTATTTGTGAGCAACCCAAGCAACACCGCCAAATCGAGGAGCCCGTTGAGTTCTTTAAAATCGATATCACATCCGTCTTCGATCATGAGTGCCTCCAGAGTTTCAACATCAAACGTTGTTTTCGTGTGGGATGCAATAACGAGTGCCCTCTGCAGTTTTTTGGGCAGGCTCTGAATTTTAGACGAGACGTACGTGCCGACGTCGTCCGAAAGATCTGATAGGGCGTTTTGGAATTCCACTCCAGCAAGATTCCATTCCCATCGAAAAACAATCATTGAAAAGTATAGGATATTTCTTCTTTGGAGTTCTTCGATTGCTTGGATTGAAAAAAATATATTTCCTCTCGTCTTGCCATATATTATTTCAGTCAGAGGGCGGCATTCGTCTATTGTTAGTTGTAGTGTATCGGCGATAAATTCTCCAATCTCATCTATTGATAAGTTGAGTAAATTGATTCGAGTCACTCKTTGATTCGGTCCTTCGATTTTGGTCATCAACTTGGCAAAATTGGTTTCGTCTTCTTTGGCCTCCGTGATTCCACGCGTGGCATTMCCTATGAACATAAAGTATCGRCACGCTGGATCTTTTATCAAGGATTCGATCAGTCCGAGAGACTCGTCGTCTGCCCATTGACAATCGTCGAGAAACATGATMAGTGGATATTGCTCGTTGCAAATGGCACAAAACAAAGCGTTGAAAAGATACCGTATTCGGTTCCGCGAGTTTTGACCCGGAATGTCAGCTGCGTCGGAGTCGTTCTCCTCGCTGTTGGACGCCGAAATGCTGCGTCGGGGACGCAGAACTCCGTTTGGATTGGCTCCCATTATCATGGCCCTGTTTCGGATTTCCTTTTCGTCGTTTGTTGTTTTCAAGATATCTCCAAGCCTCGGAACCAAAGCGGAAATGGACAAGGTTTCGGACGCCAGGGAGTCAACGATCGCGCTTCGTATTCGCACTAGATTGCGAGTGTCCTCGTTTTGCAAGAGTCGATCAAAGAAATCATTCAGACCTTCAAGGATGGCCGAAAAGGGGTCCGTACAGGTTCGTTCGAATCGTCCTCGCATGTGACACACCGTGGTGTACCTCACATGCAAAGAATTGTACTTGTTGGTTTTTTGTTCTGTCTCTTCTAGCTGTTTGATGAAGCTGCAGATCATGGCAGATTTTCCAGTTCCGGACGGTGCCTGAATAGCAACCACGGGAGATGATCGTGACTCCGAATCAGAGTCTTCTTCGTCTTCGTCTTCGTCTTCGGTGTCATTATTGTCGTAGAGCTGATCAAAGAGATCGGTGAGTATTTCGAGTTCTTTTGTTCGCCCGTATACCTTATCCTTGGGAAACACGAGTCGATTGTTGAGAACCTGGTCGTCGTCGTCTTCGTATTGGTCGTCGTAGAATTCTCGACCASCCGAGGGCTTGTAAACCATTCTTAGGTTTGTTTTAGTGTCGACCCTTTCTCTTTCGCCCAGTCTACTTTTGTYGTTTCTCGCAAGTGTAAAAAAATCTGCCCCACTTTTTTTGAGGTCTTCTATGCTTTGTTATTGTGTGTTTCGTCGAATACCATCGATTGGGTTGGAATGAATTGAATGGAATTCTATTGCAAGTTCAAGTAGCCTACCGTAGTTTACTAACATTCCGATTTGATCCACCCCGGTTCCCCGCTGCGGCTTTCACCGTCACGCACAGAGAGCGCTTTCGCAGGTTGTGGTACGATACTCGTACCGCATGGTTCTGTACAAGCTGAGCAGGTACAAAGTACAGTTAYGAACTCGTAATTGTTGAAGGCTTAAGTCCTACTGCAAAATATGCTGCGTACATGTTACAATTACTCGTACTCATACCCGTGAAGAACGAAATGAATAGAACGACTACGAGGATGCACCGTACGGTACGTAGTTGAGTATCGATCTCACGGGCTCCGGACCGCATGAAGGCATACCGTACGGTACGTACTCGTACTCCTAAGCTGCGTACTCGTACCCGTACCGTAGCACCGAGGCGAAGGTTTCTTACTGTAGTAGTCGTAACTCGTATCGTACCGTACAACATTCGTACTCRCAATACAGTGCAAGGAAAGAGCAAAGCAACATGATCCCCGTACCGAGTACTCCGTATGCATSGATTTCTCTGTTGCTCGCGTGATGATCTCGCGAAAAGAGTTCAACAAATATTGGTACGAGCTTTAGATCCGGAACGWGAACCTACTGATCTCTAACCCTAATATAGTAGGAACCATTTTTTCCTTCATCCATCATCGAAGGAGTTATTTTTTGACCATTCGTGCTTTTTCATGGAAGATCCTRCAGAATCCTACAGAAACCGAAACAATTTCCCTTCGTCAATCGTACGTACCCAAGTACCGTACTCGTAGTGTAATCGGACTCCAAACAGTAACAGTACCGGTACCGTAGTGTTTGATTTGTGACAAAGTGTGCAGTGAGCATTTTGAAACAAAGAAAGCAGCAGCAACAAAATATGAGTAATGCTACAGCCACGAGGCCAGCTGCTGCATTGCCGATCGATKCCCGCAATGCCGAGCCGATTCAGAGACGGGTGAAAATTGTGGTCGTCGACAAATCGGATGCCACAAACACCACCATGAGTACCGACAACCACGAAAATTCTCTCGACGACGAGGTTTTGCWAATCGAGCTGGACCCGACAGAGCAGCACCTGATGGACACGCTGAAGAAGACTGCTGATGCACTAAGGGAAGGAAGGCTTTCGCTCGGGAAAAAGAACGTTCAAATACGCATCGCCGGAGGATGGGTTCGCGACAAGATTTTGGGGTTGCAAACCCACGACGTAGATATTGCACTGGATGCGTGCACTGGTGTGGAGTTCGCCCAGACMGTGAAGGAATTCCACGAAAAAGAACACGGCGCCAGTGGGGGCAACAACAGMAAAGACGGCAAGGACCGAATCGGAAAAATAGGCGTGGTTGCTGCGAACCCGGCCCAATCGAAACACCTCGAAACCGCGTGCTTGCGGATATTTGGAAACGACGTCGACTTTTCCAACCTGCGCCACGAAACCTATGCCGAAGATTCGCGAATACCAGACACCGTCATGGGCACGCCGCTCGAGGATGCCTTCCGACGAGATTGTACCATGAATGCCCTCTACTACAACCTCAACACGGGCAGCGTCGAAGACTGGACGCGGCGTGGCTTACAAGATCTGCTGGAAACCAAGGTGGTACACACRCCCCTAGAAGCCTTCCAAACCTTCCGTGACGATCCCCTCCGGGTGTTGCGGGTCATTCGATTCGCGGTGCGATACGAGATGGAGCTCTCGGAGGAAATAAAGTCCGCCTGCAAACTCCCACAGATTCACAACGAGCTGCGCCGCAAAGTAAGCAGGGAACGGGTAGGGAACGAGCTGGAGGGAATGCTCTCGGGCAAGCACGCCGATCCAGCCAAAGCAATGGACCTGATTTGCAGTTTGAACCTGGGTGGCAGCGTGCTGTATCTTCCCGATGACGTAAACATCATGGGAACCATCGGACAAATCCGACTGGAGCCTACTCCGTACACGCGGGAGGATGCGGACGGAGAGGGTCTCTCCCGTCTCCGAGAGTGTGCATGGTTGGAAACGCAGGAGTGTTTGCGAGCGCTGTCCACAATACTGGACTCGTTTGTCTCCAATACCAATGCAATTACATCCCTGGACCAAAGGATTGTATATTTGGCGGTCTTTGTGTTGCCCTATATGAAGTTGCAATACTTGGAAAAACAAAAGACAAAGAATGTAGTAGACTATATGATACGAGATGGGATCAAATTCAAAAACAAAGACGCGGTTTATATGGACCTCATAACACAGAATCTGGATCAAATGGTTCTGCTCCTGGAACAAAACACGACCATGGACTGCACCCCAGCGTTGAGGTTGCAGGCGGGATTGCTCGTGCGATCGGCGAAGGACATGTGGGTGACCGCGCTCGTAGTTGCCGCRGTGGTTCTGTCACGAAAGCATGGAATGTCTCGGGACGTCGGCTACTGGTGTGCCCGTGCCAAAGAACTGTACGAAGCCATCGCCATTGGTATGAACCTSGACGGATGCTGGAAAACCAAACCTCTCATGAACGGAAAGGACTTGATTCGTGTCCTAGAATTGGACAGAGGCCCTGTGGTGGGTGTCTACATGGAAGAACAGGTCAAGTGGACACTGACGAATCCAAAAGGCACCATCGAAGAACTCCACGGTCATCTCAAGAGATTCAAGACCGCTCGAGAGCTTGGCAACGACGATATGGATGACCAACCCGTTTTGAAAAAAATGCATCTGGAATAGAWYTACCGATTGAGAGGTTGAGAGAGAACGATTCTGCATTTTTCGTGGTGGAGAATAGTAGAATAATGATAGAAACCAGGTACTTGATACATTTGTCACGTGCATTGAGTGTAATCAACAGCATGTGGCCTGCTCCCATCGTAGTCTGGTCTAGACGAGCAATCCCAGGATTAGCGAATACTTCGTAACACTTTTGTTGGTGGTTGGCGCTGTTACGAGAAGAATACGCGGTGGCTTCAATGGTAGTCAAGACGAGCTTTTATCACCGTAATGGTAGCTCGTTGTCTTTGAGACGACCAACTACAAAAAAGTGGACAGAAAACGATTCGATTTCAAATGATTCAGAATAATGTACACTTCTTTTTAGTTATACAGAGGTAGGAATGCTAACGCAGCGTTCGRTCAAAGGGCAAAACATTCCGAAGCCTCTCCTATTCTCCCATTCGCGTAGCTGAGCTCTATCGCTTCATTTTCTCGATTCCATCGACGAATGGAAAATAATTGTTTGTGGGTGTTGTCGGGTGTAACACTGTATCCACGAAAGCTCGTCCAAAGCCAAACAAAAACGAGTCGAAGAACTTTCCTACGACCATCGGTCTCTCTCTTTCTTCTCTTATGCTTCGTTTGGCTGCTTCAGTTTGATATCGTTCCGGGASATCCACAACAGAAACATTCCAACCAGTGTATAGAGCAAGAGAAGTTCCATCGGGACCTCGTAGTTTCCMGTGGYATCTCGGAGCCATCCAAACAAAATRTTTGTCAGATTGAATACCGATCCCAACACCTCGACGACCGCAAACGCCATGCCCAGATGTTCCGGGGAACAAGTCTGGGGAATGATGGCCATGCAAATCGGTATGAAGATCCCGTGGGATATCGAGATTCCGATCATGGGGGCTACCGCACCACCKGGAAGGTAGTGCTGAATGGTGTCGGCCGGTATGCAGGCGAGCGTGGCTATGCTTACGGATGCCAGGGCGGAGGCGAAGAGAAGCACCGGCACGATTCCACCGGGACTGCGRTACGCKATAAACCCTACGAGAGGACTCGCGAGGGCAAACAATTCGTGGAAGCTCGATTTTCTACCAGCCGCAACGGCGCTCACCCCGAATTTCTCCTGTGCAACAAAAAGGGTTGGCGGCAGCGAAAATATTGTTAGATGGTTTTTGATCGGAACAGGACTAAAGAGTCMCAYGCCACTGCTTTTGTKCCAACGAAATACGAGTTGCTTCTGCTGTTGCTTACCATTAAGAAGGAATTTGAATTTCGGGTGAAAACTTTAAAGACGACGACAAAGATTCCACGCCCAATCGCTACGATCCAAAATGTCAGTGGAAGGGTCTCGAAACAGGCACTGACGCGGGAGTGCAAACTAGACCCCAAGGCATTATTTGTTTTTCCCCCATGCAAAGACTTTGGTTGAGAACGTKGGTTTGAAGATTGGTCCGGTTTATGGATTTGAAGGCTTGGTGGGGGTGGGACCAGYCCAAACCACCAGGCRTACAAAATACCCGCGACTACAGACACGAGTTGCACACAACAGCATGCCAGGATTCCWATCCAAATATTGTTCTCGTTYGTTTCGGAACCGGCAKCGACGGACGACACTTCTGCATATGGTGTCGTTGTGTTGGGGTTGTGTTSGAACGCGAAATCGTCGTCGTCGAAGCATTCCAGAWTGATGCCATYATGGATGCAGTTGGTGGCGATTGCCCGCATTTTCTTTTCGTTTTCGATCAGCCACGGCAGCRATATTTTGCTGGCCATCATGGCTACGTTGTTCATTGCGACCAAGACACCCTGTGCAAAGGCTCCATCGCTTCCGTAAAAKGCATGCGCTACAAAGGTCCGCGAGGCGACCACAACACACCCCTCGCCGAGACCAAACACGGTCGCACCCACCAACCCCATCGGGATGCTTTTCCCCATCTCGAGACCRTATCCGTATATCRCAATGCCCAGCAACGATATTACCAGGAAGCAAATAGCCGAATAGGACGGCGTCCGCGATGTTCCCAAGCAGCTGTGTCGGCTCGAGGATATCAATTCCATCAGRCGGTTTCGTTTGCCCGTGTGGTTCTTTCTTTTGGTTTTGTTGTCGTGTTCGTCTCTGTGTGCCTCGGCATTGTAGTCGAGCATAGCACCTCCCACAAGAGTCGCAACAGGCAGCGACATCAGCGAGAGCATCAAGCTGTAGGTCGTTGCACTCATCAAAAGCTTTGGGTCGTGCATCAAGTATTCCTCAAACGAGGATTGYGCGGCCTTGAAAAACTTTACTCCCATTGGTGTGAGCGCTATGAGAGCTAAGATCAAGAAACGATTCTGCTCGCGGCATTTCAGTTGTTTTTGTATTTGCTCCWGTTGCCGATCGGTGTTTTCCTCGTCGTCGAAGTCAATGCTGTGTCCTCCACTCGGAAGCAACAGGGTGTGTTCGTTTTCTRTATCGMTGCTCATGTCGCTATCAACAACGGTTTCGTCCGATGAGRACAGTTGTTGTGAAAGATTCTCTCCATTGCTTTTCCTCCAATCTCCCGCAGCGTCGTAATTGTAAGGCTTCGTATTGTGATTTTTTCCTACCATTTTGTTCCATTAAGGCACCGAMCCATGAATTGTATTTGTTTGGGGTGACGGTTCCGACAAAGCCGGAAGAAGGCCGTAAGTGAGGATTCGTTTTCCTTCGGATTTCCCGTAGCTCTATTCCTRTTTGGTTTGAAGAGACAGAGGTAYTGTTTTATTTTCCATCTGGARTAGCGTCAAAGCTAATACGGTTCAAACACACCACAATGGAATAGAGTATTGWTSAAMCAACTCTTCCGCCGTAATTCGGGTACAACAACTTTGGCTTCGGTTCTTGCAACAAATTMGAATTGKTAAAAAGCCACTATGGYAGGAAKAKGAGAGTGCGATCATCTGCACTTCCARAAAGACAGKAAAGAATGAAAGACGACAGACGAAGAACAACCAAAAGCAAAAGACGAAATTTCGAGCAACGAACGTGAAMATCAATCGTATCCCCCCCATCCGACGAT